GCGTCCATAGACTTACCTTGCGTCTCTGCTCGTCTCCCGGCCGAGAATCGGAACTGCGCATGCGCCCGCCCCAAGATCCTTTGCGGCCGTACGAGCAGTTCCTGATTCTCGGCGCGGGAGCGAGCAGCGATAACGAGGTAAGTTTAAAATGATTTCAAGCGTTTTTTGTTTTTTTTTACACTTCTTGCCTATATCTACTGCTTGCTAGCAGTAGATATAAGCAAAAAAACCGTAGGGTTTAGAACCCCTTTAACTTGTCCCCGCCATCCCCCCCGCCTCCATACCTGATTGCCTGATCACTGGAAGGACACCCTGTCTCCTGTAGGGCCCGACATGTACATATCATTCAGGGCCAGGCAGGAACAGGCACATCTGAAGGGATGCGGGGATGTCCTGTTTGATAAAACATCTGCGTCTGCTCCAGCCTTCACGGATGTTTTATCAAACACGACATCCCTGGAATCCCTTTAGATGGGTTCTTCAGAACGCTGTTAAACGGCCGGGAGTAGGTGCCCACCTCTGCCCTCCCCTCGCTAGCCCCTGCCAGGACACTCTGGGGGGGGGGGGGGTTTGAACCCCCCTATCCCCCCCTTATTTACGCCCCTGGGCACAGGTGCACATTTATATGTACACATATACAAAGTTATGTGATTTTATTTTCAGAAATGTTGTTGGTAAAGCCATGAGTGTATACAGCTATGCTTGGTCATGCTTACTGTGTATGCATGGTTGGGAAGGAAAATGACCTTTCATTTACCACATAGAGCCAAACCAAAGGAATTTTACTTTATCATTATAAGCTATGTTTATAATGACAGGGTTGAATTTTTCAGCTGGCTTCCATCTACAAAACGATTGTGCAGACATTGTTTAAAAACATGAATGATATCACAGGTTAATAGTATGAAATAAATATATAATCAGAGCACAATTAAAAAAAGCTTAAACCAAATAACTTAATAAGGCAGCCAAATACTTTTCAAGGCTATGTCAAGTGTGATGAAACTAATTTGAGTTTGAGCATGTCAATATGTACTGAAAACATGTACTGAAATATTTATTTTGTGCAATTTATTTTTACATTTTTCACAGACATTCCCCAGTGTACTTGATCATTTTCCCTTCAGAATGAGAGACTGGCTGAAAAATGTCCTTATCCAATTGTATGAAAGGGGCCTGGAAAATACTGAACTTCTGTCAGAGAAGCAGAGGAACAAGGTGAGATTATTCTATTACCAAGTGCATGAGATGTATTTTGTATTGTTTCAAACCAATAAATAAAGCTATGGTATTCGGTTATTGTACTTCCACCGCGCAATACGGTCCACTACCTTATCTAAGCCCAAATTTAACTTCCTGGACTGTTTCAACCAGGAATGCACAAATACTAGTATTGGTGCCGATACCGAGTATTTGGGCGAGTATTCATACTCACCCAAATGCTCCCGATACTTTTCCCGATACTGGGACTTCCGGTACCAGGAAGCCGGGCAGCTTCCTCATTACATGCCGCCTGGCTTCCTCATTGTGTCACGGCCGCCGCCGTCACCAGCCAGCGAGGAGGGAGGATGCGGCAGCCAGCCGCTCCTTCGTTGGGCCGATTGCGTTCCAGGGTGGAGCGCACGCTCGTCACTTCCGGGTTTCGGGACCGCGTGCGTTCCACCGTGGAACGCGGAAGGGCACCAATGCGTGCCTCGGCTCCTCCTTCACTTTAGAGCCCTATTTAAACGGCCAGACGAGACAGCATGGCGTTCCAATATTGAGTCAGAACGCCTGCTGTCTCCTGGGACCCTCCAAACTACAGACTGTGCCTCCAGCCTTCTCAACCTACCTGGACACCACCAAGGACCCCCCCTACTCCCATTCCGGCTTAAGCTCCAAAGCGCAAGTACTCTTAGTGCAGTTGCACACTATAACATCAAAACTGTCTCTGAGTAGAACCTGCAAACTTAAATACAATACTGGGGGACTGTTCACTGCTACTGTTGTTGATAACCTTCTAAGTCCTGCTAAAACATTGACCATTGAAGATATCCATTGCTCTCCCAATAGCTCACTTAACTTTAACCCTTGCCACTCTATTAATTAAACCTGAGGCTGTGATGCAAGGTACCCTAACTCTCAGTTCAAATAGAGAGTGAAACCAGGGTACCAGACCTGAGAAGCCTCCGCAGCTGCGATCCACGTGACCACTATACATACAGGCGTGACACATTGGCCGGGAAGCCGGCTTCATGCTCCTTCATTATCAGGAAGCATGGAGCTGGCTTCCTGGCCATTTAGGAAGCCGGGCGGCGTGTAATAACTTGCCGCCTGGCTTCTTGTTTGTTTGCTCCCGGCTAATCAGGAAGCTCGGCGGCGAGACATTACATGCCGTCCAGCGTCCCAGCACAAAAAAAGTATCAGTACGCGTACTCGACATCGGAAAACCGGTATTGTTGCATCCCTGGTGTCAACCTTGCTTTATGAAGTATCGGAACTGTATCTTACTATCTGAAATTACAGATGATATGGGGAAGATATTAATTGCATATGAAGAAGGATTACTGGTATTGAACATTAGGTTGCTATTGAATATAGATGGTCGAAATGGACACTTTTACCTAGATTATTTTTAATAGAAGTTCAAAACAAAACTGGTCTACTGCAAAATATATGCTGTAACCTAAAAATACATTTTCTTAAATTCAATATGTTATTTATTGGACTCATTTAAAGTATAACTGCACTTTCACTAAAAATATCAGTTTTCTAGTATCTAGTAAAAATTACAATGTAGAGGGTTACCTTTTCAGAAAAGAAGATCTGTTTTAGTAATAATGATTGGTTTTGGGGACTTTCTGCCTCCAGAATGATTGCTAATTCAGCTAAATGCAGGGCAGGTTTCCTGAATAGCTTCTTCACTGACACTAATGTAAAGAAGAGCACTATGCTGAAAACCAATGTAAGGAGCTGTTGGCCTACTGATCACCTGCAGGGGGCTCTTCTCTACTGAAAGCCAACCTAAGAGGACACTACACCAACTACCAATGTGATGGGGCACTTCACTGACATAAATGTGAGTGGATGCTACAATGTTTACTCTTTTTATTTCTTTTCTGGTCATTATTATTCTTTTCCTTGGATCCCCATGTTTGTCATATAGAACCCATTATAGTGGCATTTTTGCATAGTCTCCAGGAACAAACAAATGCATAATATTTAGTGAAAGTTCAGTTATAGTATGCATTTCTGCTTCATCCACCATAGTCCTTAAAAACTTTCTAATTAAATAAGCAGAGTTATGGTTTCTTATAATAGGTCAAAAAAATCTATGAGAATGAGAGGCGTTTACAGAAAGGTGATCATAACATTGAACTCTTGGTGAAGGATTTTCAGAAAAACTACCACATGTATGTATATCCCGTTCACTGGCAGTTTAACCAGCTTGATCAACATTCAATAGACAGGTATGTTTTTAAAACACAGGAATCAATGTCATTCATGTACTCCATAAAAATACATCATGTTAAAACAATACAATACTACCTTGTAGATTTATGCACTGTTGTGATTGCTCATGTTGGATAAAACTCTTGCCAGGAGCTAGGAGCTAAGCAGGATGCTCTGACTGGTGTCCCGTCCAGCTCCTAGCAACCAGTGATGTCAGTGAGTTGGGCGTGATGCCGGGCAGGGTATAATGGAGCAAAGTCCACCAACCCCATTAGTGTGCACCCCCACCTCTTAAGGCAGAGAAACGGCTAGGGACACCCATGGATGACACGCATATGGCACTCAAATGTGGCTAAGGAGAAGGCAACTGCTGGGGAAGGCAACTGCCTTTGATAATAGGTCATTCAGGTCGGTGCCAAGACAACAAATTCCATTTGATATGATTCCATGGATTTGATCCATGGGCAAATATGCTGTTCACTTTACAGTGGGATGTTTCCTTAGCTTAGTGAATGTGGTGAAAACTCAATTTGCAAACAATGCCCAGTTGCGAGCAACAAAAAATAACAAATAAAACTGTATTTTTGCACAAATGGATGATAGAAGTCAGCAGAGATTTTTTTTTTTCATTCACTAAGCTAAAGGGAAAATTCCCTTGCAAAGTGCAAATTCCATTGCAAAGTGCAAATTCCATTGCAAAGTGAACAGCCAATTTGCCTTTGGTAAATCAATGCCCTTTTCTCCTATACCATTGCATTTAGATTTGGATAAAATGATCCAGCCTAGCAGTCTTTTCATTTAGATATCTCATCATAATTATTCCATCCTGCACTTGTAATGTACAGGTATGTTTCAAAAGTGTCCAAACCTTCTAAAATAAAACAAAAAACTCTTTATAGTCACCTTTATAAGTACTACCATTTGTATGTGTTTTTTTATACAAACAAGGAGGATAGGTTCTGTCAACAATGTCTAACCCAGGTCATATAGTTTATCCAGGTAAAGGTATTATTATGTTATCTTGTGGTTCCTTGATAGGATGCCAGATTATTACCTGCAGCAACAGCCTGAACATATTATGTGCTTGAGTTCTTTTATATCTCTTAATACAAATTGATTGATTATATGATTGTAAATAACAACTGCTAAATCTTATTTTGTTGGGAAGATGCTGCAGAAATGACTCTTTCCATTCAAGATGTTGCTGGACACATGGCAGGGCTCTTCTTGTTTTATTGGACAAGAACAGAAAAATAGAGACAGGAAATTACATCATAACCATGTGGTTCCACTAGGAAGAACTATACACTGAGTGGCCAGTTTATTATGACCACCTGACGTTTGTAGGCAAATTACCTATAATTAGCTATAATTTCGCGCTGAAGTTGCTAGAGGGCCAGACCATTTTAAATAGGGAAGCAGGTTGCTTACCATGACAGTAGAAGTGATTTTTTTCTGAAGATATGGGTAAACAATGCGATTTAACAGCCTTTGAACGTGGAATGATTGTTGGCGCGAGCCCTGGAGCGAGTATCTGCAAAACAGCAGAATTTGTTAAATGTTCAAGTGGGGCTCATTGTTAAAGTGTTTAAAGACTGGACTGTCAGCCGAAAATCTGGGTCTGAACATGCAAATTGTGGCCGTCAGCGACTAGTCAATGTTAGGGCAGAACGGAGAGTGGCAAGACTGGTACAAGACAACAGAAGGGCAACAGTGCAGTGTCACATTCCTCGCATCACCTTTCAACATCTCATGGGGTCACGAGGCGGCCCAACGAAGTCATCTTGTGGAGTTATCTCGTGGCCCAACGAAGTACTGATGGGGTGGTCATAATAATCTGGCCACTCAGTGTATATTATCTAGGGATGTTCAGATACGAGTTCAGATACCAGTGCCGATACCTGGCATTTTCATGAGAACTACCAGGGTTGCAGCGGTTGCAGCTATGACAGGGCCCTGGCACTCCACCACTGTCCTGTAATCATTAGTCTGTATTGTTTTAGAAAAATTGTCACATGACACTAAAGAAAAATATATCAGTAAGTGGTATCTGTGAGTACTTGGACAAATACTGTTCTGGAA